ATTCACAAAACGGTATTACAAAAAACAGAACAAATATCAAAAAGCGCTCGGTGTTTTTATGTGTTACGGAATGAATGCGTAAACCACTTGTGGCATATATAGGGACGTTGCGATACTACCGATACCAGTAAAGTATCGATACTTTTCTTTCGATACAAGTACTTTTTGTATCGATACCACGGTTTCGATACTTTACTCATATCGATAAAAAAGTACTGGTATCGACACATTTATTTACCGCCAAAATTCATATCAGTTCAACACGGTGTATGTCGTATGATATACATTATATTATTATAGTCCGTGGTCGAATGTTATCGAAAATAAAGACATAAAGACTTGTTACTTGTTAGTTCTTAGTAGTAGTAAGTTGTCTCCTAATCATAACGATTAAGGGTTCGTTTACCGATATATCATCTATTTTTAAATATTATCTACTATGAATTCGGGAAAATACTCGAATACTGTATACGACAACAATATCGGGTCTTGCCGGTCAAAGTCTGAGTGTCCTCATGAGAGTCATGACTGCATTCGGCATTCCGCTGACCACATTCGATCGACTAGTGCCAGTGCGACAACTCGATCTACTCGGATTACTACTTCTTACTGTTACAACAATTACATATTTAAAATGTCGCCTCCAAAGAGCAAATGCTGAATGTATTTTAAAAAAGTTGACAAATTTATCGCACAATGCAAAATTTGCTCTCAAAATATAAAATATTGTGGCAACACATCCAATTTGGCCAAACATTTAAAAAAACATTCAAATATATTGGAACCCGGAACGAGTTCAACGACAAAAACTACTGCTAAACAGTTGAAATTAGCTTCAACACCTATAACTAATCCTGTTTCGACTCATAGGTAAGTTATTTTCAAAATAATAGTACTGTAAATTTGTAATCTGCCTGAGCAGTGAAATCTAAGTTATTATAAATTATAATACCAACATATAAGACTATTCATATAGCTGATGCTTAAGAATAATAAATTATTGCTTAAACTTGCTGACTCAATGAGTTTTTCAAATTATCAAAATTAACTTAAGCAATATTAATCTGTGGCTTGGTGCAAGAAGGGCCAATGTCATATTTTGACAATGTTCAGGAATTTAAAATATTAAATTGGCCAATTTTTAAAAGTTTGAACTCTAAAAATTCTGTTACTTAATTACATTTGTTTTTATTTCATTGTATGACACTCATTTTGTTTTTAAGTATAAATAAGTTCGTTTTGGTTTGACATTGGCCCCCCAGAAAAAATAAAAAAATAACTTTGGTTTGACATTGGCCAAAAACTAAAATTTAAAATAAACAATTTTTAATAATTAAATAACTTGACTTTTTTATGAAAACCTCATAATAATATATAATTGGTCATAATGTTAGTAACTCCCATATTTATAAACTTTATTAATTGATTTCGAAATGGCCAATGTCGTGGCTATAGATAATGTGGCCAATGTCGACATAGGCCCATAATAAATTGATTATTATTTTATCAATTATTGTCAAAAAAGCCAATGTCAAATCTAATTTGGTCATACAGCATAAGAGACATTGGCACTTTTAACACAAGTAACATAAGCAGATTTTAATGACATTGGTCAAATAATCTCATTTTTTTCAAAATGTGACATTGGCCTTTCTTGCACCAAGCCACAGATTTATTCTTAAGCATCAAATATGAATACGGTCCTAAATATATAAATGTAATATATTATATTATATATATATATATGATAATATAACTAATAGGTATTATTGTAATTCATATAATTTATTATTTCAGCAAACAAACTACTGAAACTAGTCATGTTGTCCTTTCCAAAACCGTTGTACAAGATACCGAATCGGAGACAGAGGTAATAATTAATAATAATAAATGTTTATATGATAATAATGCATTAATTTTAATAAATGATTTTATTTTAGGAATGTGTACATGATCCAAATTTGTTTACCGAAAAATCAGTGGTTTTAAAACGAACTATTATTGATGCGTTCAACCGAATCAGCTCATACGCAGGTATTTTAATTATTACTTAATATTATATTATTTTTAATTTGTACTGATATTCAGATTTACTAATTTACTAGTATTTAAAAGGTATTATTTTTATTTTTATGAAAACAACTAAAAAAATTGTCTCAAATGCTAAACAATAATAATATTAATATAGATAATCAATCAACTTATACCTGAAATGTATAATTATAATACACCTACTGGGTCAAACCCTGTGTATAGTGTATTAAAATTTCTGGGCCAGACCCCCTGGACCCCCCACCGTAAATCCACCACTGAGTATATGTTAATGTTATAAATAAGTAATAACAAAATTGTCTTTTTTGTGTTTCAGAGGGTGGTTTCAACCACAGGAAGATTACTATGTGTTTACTTTACTTCATTTGTAAAGATTATCGGTCTTTTGCGGTTGTAGAAGGAGAAGGGTTTAAAAGATTAATTAAAGAATTGGCGCCATCTTATAAGATTCCTTCAGTTACAACGTTGAAAATCACTCTGGATAATAAATATGCGGTCACAAAGGGAATATTGAAAAGTTGTTTGTTGGCAGCACCACATGTCAGTATAACTTTTGATGCGTGGACTGAGACAATGAATGAAAAAAGTTTCCTTGGTGTGACAGTACACTACCTTAAAGATATTTCTCTCAAATCACATTGTTTGGCGGTTTCAGAACTGAAAGAAAGACACACTGCACAATATTTAAGTGACATTATTCAAAAAATTCTTTCAGACTGGCAAATTGATAACAGTAAAATTGTTACTGTTGTAACAGACAATGGTGCAAATGTAGTTGCTGCCGTTAGTAAAACATTTGGTAAGAGCAGACATACCCCATGTTTTGCTCATACCATTAATTTAGTATCAACGCATACAGTTGGTCATCAAAATATAAAACCTATTATATCAAAAGTTCGAGAAATTGTAAAATGGGTGAAAAATAGTGTCATAAACAGCGACCAATTGAGAAAAAAACAGGCTGAAGCTGGAGTTCCTGAAGGAAAATTCAAAAAATTAATTTTAGACGTTGCAACACGATGGAATTCGGTTTTTTTCATGATTCGAAGATTTTTAGAAATGGTGTCTTTTCTAAGCCCAATTCTACTAAACGATATAACTGCGCCTAGTATGCCGACTGCCATAGAAATGAATATCCTTCGACAACTACTTGAGTTACTACAACCATTGGAGTTTGTCACAAAAGAATCCTCTGGGGAAAATTACATAACCATTTCAAAAGTGATTCCCATGATTAGCTGCTTACTAAAACAACTGGCCCAAATCCAGCCAAGATGTGATGTGTCGTCTGATATAAAAGATGTGTTGCATGCAGAAATAGTTCGTAGATTTGGACTGATTGAGCAAGTTAAACCGATCGCCATTGCCACGATTTTGGATCCAAGATTTAAAAATCTTCATTTTACCGATCCAGTCGCTTGTTCAAGTGCGATGGCAGAACTTAGAAGACTATCTAAGCCAGATATATCATCCAGTGAATCGGAAGGGGAGGTGACCACTTCTTTAGAAAATGAAGAAAGTTATGATTTTTGGGCTCACCATAAAATGTTAGCTCACGGCCAAAAAAAGAAAAAATCATCTTCATTTGCAAATGATGAATTATCTTTATATCTTTCAAACCCCGTATCTCCACTGAAGTCCAATCCTCTAGAGCTATGGGAAGATATGAAAACTGTTTTCCCTATGTTATACAAACAGGCAAGGATATCTTTTACTATGGTTGCAACGTCGGTTCCAAGCGAAAGACTGTTTTCCAAAGCTGGAGGAGTTATGACTAAAACAAGAAATCGTCTAACAGGTTCTCGTTTAGAGAAAATATTACTGTTAGCAGATTTACCTGAAGACCAATGGTTTTGACTTTTGAGTTATTATAATTTTTTAATAATAATAATATAATATAGTTTGTAATTTGTATTTTGTTGTTTTGTATTTGTATTTTATATTTTTTTCGATACCTAATATATAATAATATAACTACGATACCTACTTATAGTAAATATGATTTTCTTGTATATTAAATGAGTTTTTTTTATGACGGGGTATAATCAGAGATGTGTTTAAACACCAGTCTTGTAAAAAATTGCTTTTTTATATAGTTATATAGCCTTGACAATAATGCTCTTCATAAATCATAACTACTTTTAGTTAAATGTTAGAAAAATGTCATATTCTAAAATAAACCAAGATTTTGAATTCTTTCTTAAATTGAAAAAAAAGAATGCAATTAAAGATTAAAGCCCCATTTACACGGTGACAGTACTGCCGTGACAGTTCTTTAACATTGAAACATTAACTGTCACCGTGTAAATGGGGCTTTAGCGTAAAAAAAAGGTTTTGTTCGATACAATATAGTCTCATACAGTCATTTCGGTCCTTTTATTTCGATATTTTACTCATATGAGTATTTTCATTCGATTCGATACCAATTACCAAGTAAAAGTATCGATACTTTTCTTTCGATATCACGTCCCTAGGCATATAGTGACGTGCGATATTGTAGTTCACTACGTATACAGCTGCAGCACGTCGGCGGCGGCACCCAGCCGACATCAGCGCTGTCTGTGGCAACAGACATGCGCGAGCTCGACGAGTTTTCGTCGATCGAGTGGGCAAGGTTATTCTGAATAGACTATAGTAAATAGGTATGTGTAATCATGACACTTACAATTACTTTCAGAGATAGAACTTGAGCCATTTGACACTGAAATTAAATCAGATGACATTAGAGGACTCTCACCCGCAGTAGTTCCACTTGCAGCTATATAAAATTGGGAAATATTTGTATTTTATTAAGATAATATTTTTAAACGATTAACATGTTGGAAAATAACAATAACACAATATATTATATTACATAATGGCAATGTTGGTGGTACAGGTAACTACAAAAAAACATTTTCCAGTTTGCGTGAACATCTTGCAGTTTCTTTTCGTTTTTTAGTTACTGGCTGTACTGGCGATTCATTTTCAAAACTACTCTCAGAAGAGTCTGGTTCTGACCAAGCTTTTGCCACTTTTTTTGCTTGACTTTCTCTTTCTAAAAATATTATGAACAATAAATTCGAGATTATAAATTAATAATCTATATATTTTGGTATATATATTCTTACCCTGATACAGTCTTTACATTGTTACGTACCGTGTTATTTTACACATATATATTATACGGAGAGGTGATGTGTATACCGATGGAATAACATATTCAAACAGTGTAGTATCGAATGGCTATGGCGATCACCTGCACATCGTGATATTTAATATAATGAATAAGACATGATCACACGTCCTGGACTTCTCAGAAATGATGAGTAAACGATAGTGTTAACATTGTACTATTTAATATGACAATCAAGACTTGATCACACGTCTTGTAATTCTTAGAACCGATGAAATCAGGTGCGTTTCGCCAGCACTGCCACTTTCGAATTTTAATATCAAACATCGACAGTATTATGTACTTTTTTTTGTACAATTTTGTACAACTAAAATTAAATTTTGTACACCCCCCCCAAACACGACCAAAACCGTTTTTCCTATGCGCGTGCTGGAGAAACGTTTCCCCAGCACTGCCAATGTCGAAAATCTACAAAATTCAATTTTAATCTGTACAAGTATTATGTACTTTTTTTTGTACAATTTTGTACAACTAAAATTAAATTTTGTACACCCCCAAAAACACGAAAACCGTTTTTCCTATGCGCGTGCTGGAGAAACGTTTCCAGCCTAGCAATGTGAAAATCTACAAATCTACTTTAATCTGTACGTTATTATGGCTTTTTGCAATTTTGGCAACTAAATTAAATTTTGCACACCAACACGACCAAAACTGTTTTATAAGCGCTGGAGAAACGTTTCCCAATAGACCAATGTCGAAATCTACAAAATTCAATTTTGACCCAAAGGTATATTAGGTATTTCAGGCTAATTTTGTACAACTAAAATTAAATTTTGTACCCCCCCCCCCCCCCCATACACTACCAAAACCGTTTTTCCTATGCGCATATTATTATGTACGATACTGTCTATACTTGTGTATATTTTAATTGAATGATGATACAAATATGAAATATATAAAACGTAGGTAGTATACTATTTTATTCCTATTTTACGTAATACTTAATATACCTTCCATTCTAATTTATTATTTATACACATCTTATCATATCTTTTTTTATCCAATAGATAATGATAAATACTTAAATACTTATACTTACTTTCATTCTCTTCCGTATTTAAAATTATATCATTGATATTTGATATACCATTTAATTTATTGACGTGAATTGATGTGATTATATTTTTAATACCAAAAGTCCGAAATGTCAATTTATCATTTTCTTTATAAATCTATATCAAATATTTTGGTAAAAATAAAAGTATTTTTATAATATTTATATATTTTTGTATACAGTTATACGCTATGACGTGGTTTAATTAATAGGTTGGTAATAATATGGATGAAAAGGATATTTGATGTAAAATAAAATAATTTATATTTTTTGTATACTGTTAACATTGTTTGTTGGCAGTGTTGTTTTTATTATTTTTACATAAGATTACAGAAATATAGAATCATTATTTACTGAATGTTTTACTTAGTGTATAATAGTAATTCAACATTTACATTTTTTTTTGTTGCCGGTTTTACATTTTCTTTTAGATCATCGTACAATTCCCAATGATCGTTTGACCTATATGCAAATCCTTTATAATGTCCACTTGACACTCTTAAACCTGTACGCTGTCCTCCTTCAAATACTACAACACCTCTCAGATAGTAAATTTTATTTTTTAAATTCAGAGTTTTTGGAATATTATCTAATGTCATCATTGTTTCTTTTGCATAATTTTGATGAATTTGATGAATTTGATCTATGTTTGTTGCACTTGTTGACGAGTGAAAATCTGTAATAAATAAATAATAAATCAGTATTCAGCATATTAGAAAATTATAAAAACCTAATACATTTTACTTTACCTCGAGGAAGAGACACTAATTCCACCAATATATGCGTCATTACGCTTACCGTTAGATATCTTTTGGAATCACAGTTGTCACAGTTAATTTCCTCTCTTTCCAAAAATGTGTCCATTGATTCTTGAATATTAATATGACCATCGAATGCAATCAGTTTGATAACCTCATAGGTATGTGGATCAATTGAAAATTCTGGACAGATGTAATTCGAACAATAATTTGTTGTTTTATAAGATGGCAATGTTTTCAACAATTTGCTTGCTGTTGATGATATCGTATCCATTGCATCTATTGTTTTTACATCACCAATATATTCATTATCAGACAAAAAAAATGGAGCCAGTAATAAAATACGTTCTCTGTTTATATTTTTTTTCAGTTTAGGACATTTCATCATGTTAATAATAAATTTCGCAGTTTTATTTTGCTTTGCTTTTCCGGATAAAAATTCAAAATAAATACTACTATCAGCTGCAGCACATGCTAAAATACTTAACAAGGAATCTGATGAGCAGCTGTTGTCTAGAATAATTTTACCTAATCTTGGAATGTTGTATGGTTTATTACGAAATGTATTGCCATTCTTGAGAAATACAATTACTTTTCCAGAACCTTTTTCATTTAAATCGACATGTTCAAATCCTGGCTGTGGCATAAGATACGATTCAGCAGATCGACATTGTGATATAGTCGTTGATTTTTGTTTTTTTTGCCAATGTTCAACAGCTTCACATTCTTTAGTTTTCTCGGCGCATGTTAGACATATCCGTGATTCTCCAAATCCTTCTTCGCTGAGTGTATTCTTTACGGAGCAACCAAATAGATGCACTGGTTTGTTACAAATTGTACATCTATGTATGCCCGTTGGAAAATCTCCATTTTCACATGGTAAACAAGACATTTGAATAGTGATTTTTTTTTTAATTGTATTATTTTCATTTTCTTCATAAGGTTCAATACGTTTTGTATCATTTTTATCAATTTCGTGTTTATCAAGTAGCTCATTAGATTTTTCTATCATTTCTGTATCTGGGTAATAATTTATACTTTTAATTTCATTTGAGGAATAATTTCTATTAACTAACTCTTCATGTACTACACTTCTACTGTATTTCTCAATAATATTATCATCTGTACAATAATCTCCACCAGATACTGTTTGATTGTGGTTCGGCAATTTATAATTATTATCTTCACTTATATTCTGTTCTTCGTATTCTTCATTATTAAGTTCGGGTGTAACAACAGTTGTAGTCAATGACTGGGAGTCTCGTAATAGTAAATGATCTCCATTATAATATTGTAATAGCTTTTCTGTAAAATCATCTACTCTTATAGGTAATTTATCTGCTTCAAAAACTCTATTTTTTAGCTGATTAAAATTGCATTCAACACGACTACTTGAAACGGTAGCATCTCCATACCCAAAAGCTGTTCTCATAATCCCGGACCAACAGGGATACAACTTCATGGCCTTGACTATCAGTGGAACCAATTCGGGTATAAATTGAGCGTTGTCGTATTCGCCTTCAATTGTTTCAACTTCTAATTTACAATTATTTGCTATTAATGAAGCCCAATTCATAAATGAACTATCAAATTTATCATTACTGTTTTCATCAAAAGGCTCTTGATCATTTATATTATTTAACATAATTTCTTCGATTAAATGATCAAAAGTTTGTATATATGATGATTTATTTGAAATCAGGGTCTGAAGATATCTCTTACTTATAGCGCAAGGTGTTTCTACTGAAGTATCTGTACGTACTAAAAGTGGGCCATCATACTTACTCAATGCTATTTTAAAAATAGCTTCTAAAATTTCTTTTGTTTCTTCCATCGACGTACAATATATCAAAAGAGTCATTGATCTCAC